TTGTTTAGTCGTAATAGTAAACCTTCTCACTATCTTTGACATAAAGTTCGTACATATATTTGCCTATTTATATTGTCTTGTATTGCAAAGTATTCATGTTGTAATCACTACCTCATTCTTATTGTGTTACCATATTGGTCATATACCACGTTTCAAACTCAATCCAAACCGAAAGCCCGAGGGGTAAGTGTAATTTGCCATCGGTAGAATAGACACTGGCATGACAACGAAAATCCCACTCTCAGAATTTGACTGTAGCTACCGTGAGTTGTGGCTCGCTCAAATAGAGCATTATTTTACGACACAGAATATTAAATTTGGGAGTATTGACTACCGAGATTTATATGGTGACATCGTCGTAGATCGTCAAAACCAAGATACTACATTCCATTCGTGGTATGATAACGGTAGTGACGTGTAAATTCAGTAATTTGTGCAATTAACATGAAATACTATATCTTCCCTCGGTAAAGTTATTGTGGATAAGCATTTACACCTATGTATAATATTTGTTGTCTAGGTGAGCCAGTTTTTATAACCCTTCACTTGTTCACCACTTGATGCCCTCGCTGCGAGTCCCCTCGAATACCGAATGAAGATAACATGGTCAATTCAAATTCTGATTCTCCTTGCCGGTTGCGGGTAACTAAATCGAATGATTGTTGACACATGTGTATATTTTAGGAAAAACTACATAACATGGGATAGCTATTTTTAGTTTATCCTTGTTATACTGAGCTAAGTTTATTTCTTCAATCACGTTTCAGACTATAAGCCGATTATACTTTTGGTATCACTTGAGCGTATACAACTTGACTGATACTTTTCTTTGCACATACTTTAAAGAGTTTTAACGGAACTATTCATGAAATGGAGAATAAATCTCTTATCACAATGAGGAATCGGAAATCTACAGCACAAACAACTCACAAATATTCTGTTATGAAAAACTAGGGAAGCTTTGGTCTATCTCACAGAAAACAGCATCAGTGATATAAATAAGCATATTTAAGTCCATTAAAATACAAACAACTGCTATTGGGACATGGACCAAAAGTAATACATGGATAATCGAGACAACATTCATTTAGGATTAAAAGAAGATATGAGTGGCTCATATCCAGCCATTAGCGGACGACCATGACAGGCAGCTGGAAGAAATTATGTACTCAATTTTCAACGTTCAATTTGTGTGCAATACCAAGCATTTTCATGTATTCTCCGTTCATACATACTTTTACTATTGGTTATAATCGCCTCCCTTCTTATTTGTCTTTAGGTCACTTCGTTAGATGATTGATTACTAGCATCATCAGACTCTGTTGTATTCAGTGTATTATTAGACCTCGTAAATATATCCTCAACACTGTAAGAGTGATGGTCTCTACATTTTGTAAAGAAGTCCGACGGCCGTATATGGTATATTAGCTGTATAATGTTAATATGTAGAGACGACCAAATACCCTGTCTTTTGGGGTTATTTGTGACGCTTTGCACGACTAAGTCTGACAATACTAGTATAACGCTCTTTAAAAGCTGAATTCCAAAGGAATATTAACCAAGTAGGTTAGCCCTAATGTTAACTTCACAGGATTAGTTGTGACTTTTCGTATTATTGACAAGAATCTTCGTAGGGACTATCAGAACTCGTACTTATTGTTTGACTGGTATGCTTGTAGCAGTAAATAAATCCCCAAAACTGTTCGAAGTGGCTCTTTGATTCGTCACAATTAACAATGATATAACGCTAAGTTCTAACGACACTTCGAACCTAATGCAGTAGTACAAGTTCTTAATTCTCACACACAGTTATTCGTTAAAACTATTGGTATACCTCCCCATGAAAATATGAAGACAAAAATAAAAACTGAGAAAAATTTTATTGATTTGTCATGACTACTAAAGTAGAAAGATAAGTTTACAAGGTGTATATATAGTGAAGTCAAAAATAAGGCCACAAAGAACTTTTTATCGTGAACGTGCTGTCTAGTTGTTGGTAATTCTTAAGTAAAAAGTGTAGGCTTTTCTCTCCACCTGTTTCGCGAATTGTTCACCAAATTTCTCAATAATTTGTTGTTTGCACATTCTTTGGAGCAGTTGAATTTGTATATATTTTTCACTCCGTCTCGGTAATGAAACTGTTGCATTGTTTTGTAAGTTGTGCTTATTGACTAACTTCCATCTACAACAATGCCTAAGAATTTGAGAGCTATATAGTTTATATTTCGTAAGTGACTAAGCTTACCTGTAAGAGTTTGTCTCTTAACATATGTCAGTAGCAGATGGCGGCAAGGATATCGACACGTAACAAATATCCTACACTTGCACTCACAAGGACTTCATAATACTTTCCGCAATCAACAGTAAACAACCAGTCGCCATTTTCATATCCCACATAAACAAAACGGATTATTTTAAAGTTCGTATAACATTTTTGATCGTGCGAATGGTGTTTGCATGTTCAGCAACGGAAGTAGGCGCTGTGGAGCATCATATCTACACGATCCTCCGGCTATTATTCGATCTTCAATACTTTTACTAGAGGATACCATTGCACTTGAAAACTTTGTATATAAATTTATACAAACTATCCGTTTTCCTTACATACCTTTTTATTTGGCGGTTAAGCGACTCAACACGATTATTCGTGTTGTTGCGCAGAGTTAGAACATTGCCATAAAACGCAAGTGCTCACATACTTTTGAGCGACATCTAAAATCGGTGAAGATATTGATCACTTTTTTGTCGCTTTGGTTGATTATTCTGAAATATTGATTAAATCTGCTGATTAAATGCATTTCAAAAAATACCTTCCCACCGTTTCTGCGGTTACTAATCGACTTAGTACGTTCTCAATATTTCGTTGTGTGTCTAAAAGCTATTTTATTTTAATCAAGATTGGTGTATATTTTTGCGAAAAGCGCGACATACGTGGAAGGCGCACAAAATAATTTTTGCAGTAGCGTGTGTGATACGGACAGCTGCGCTTTCTGCTCGTGCGCTATCCATGACAAAAATCTGGGTTTTCGCCGTATTTCCCATAACCTCTTTGAATTTTTCAAGAAACCACATAGTATCTGCGCGCATTTCCTTTTTCGTCCAACCAAATGTTATAGGCCACCCACGATCAAACTTATCTGTTATAACAAACTGATATAAGAAATATCTACAAAGTGTCAAGTAACAAAGAACACAATCACTTTTTATTATTGGTATTATAAGTCGAATCAACACACACGACTTCGGGATATTGATTGTACAACCGTATTTGGTCATAACTACTGAAGCATATTCTCGTGATATATCCATTTACTACATGCTCCCTAACTTCACCGTTTTGTCACAGCATATGCAATACCTGCTTTAAAGCAGGAACTACTACAAGGATGGTTGTGAGACATGTTGTAAGATTTTATGACGTATACTTGATCTTCCAATCTTATACGAAGCTTAGATTGGCAGCTTGAAAACTTAGACCTTAAATGTCACAGATTAGTTAAAGTCCCCACGATTTTTATTCACTGTCAGACCTGATGATTTAAGTTTACGACCAAACGTGCAAGTAAACACCACGAACAAATATTTATATCTCATATGCTTCAACAATTTACTTTCTGTGTGAACATAGTGCGTATGGGTAATCTGAGAAAATATAGAATTATTCTTCCATACTTTATGGAAATCCTTTAGCGCACAATCAAGCTCAATCCAAATTCCGAATCGCTTGTTCAGTATAATATGTTGAAACGACTCGCTTACGTCCACTGAGATTTTACTTGAGCATGAAGCGCTTCAGACAACACGCATTAGCTATCAAAAAAAGTTATTCCTTGAAAAATACTAACTGAAAGAAGTACAACAAATATTTACGACTTACCGTTGAGTTGACATTTCGTCTTAACTTCTTTGTTTAACAGCGATTTACCGAAACTTCACATATCTAAAACTTTTAAGGTTATCTTATCTTTCATACGTTTTTTCTGGACCTTATCAACAAATTATATAAAGGTGTTGGCGTTTACTACAGCAGTTGGGATCACACATCAATTTAGGAAGCAACAACAGAGCTCACGTGTACACTACAAAACAGAGAATGGTAAATTAATGCTCTTAGCAGTCATTTTGTGCTTTTTTATGTAGCATAAGATGACTTAAATATGTGAAAACTTAATACTCACACGACCCAACACACCCACGGCAATTGAAATACGGAATGACCGCCTCTAGTCAGGCCGTTGAAGGTCGTTGAAACGAAATGGCGGACAGATCTGAAAAGGATTGCCGTTTTTAATGATTGATATCATCATCTACATCCTAAACGCAAGTATCTGACTCTAACGGACTGCGTTTACGTCCATATGTACAGACATATCTCACGAAAAAGTACTTTAGAGTTGGATATTCACTGTTCTTTTTGCATACTGACATTACGTACTTAGTATGCGTATACTAAGAAAATAATTATTAACCACAGAAGTCATATTACCCTTATGTACTTCTTTCAAACACGTCTCAAAATTGTCCCAACTTGTAAATCTTCGGGATAACATAATATCATTAAAGATTCGTCCTATATCATGCATCATCACGATGATATCTTCTTCGTTACTTGAAGAATGAACGTTATCAGACATAATGTGGCTGAACTTAATTAAAATCTGAAACTGTCTTGATTTGACCGCTTATGAAAATTTTCACGAATTGTCGATGTGACGCATCAATCATCTTGCGACAGTTTGACCTTCAAGTGCTCGCAACCTTCATCAGTGAACGATACCCCTGAAGCGTTGCCTTTTTAACTTGCCTTTTCCCCGTGCCGTCGTTTGGACGTAAGTGCTTCTTGACGATCTTACTGTCCTCCGACTAGTATTAGTGTCATTAAGTTTTCTACTTTGTAGGGTGTTTTTTTGTCACATCCCCTAATTCAATTGCTAATCAACAGACACTTTTAGTAAGCGTTCGGTTTATGGTATCCTAAATGGCCCATACAACGTTGCCACATTTATCAAGCTGCTCTGGGTATTATTCTTTTTGAGATGTATTTTGTTGTGAATGAATCCAGGTAACCGAAAATGGAAATTAAGACGGACATATAGGAAATAAAGTGACAGTTCTCTAAGAAAATAGAAGAAAAGTTGAAGGAAAATGCGCCTTAAATTCTCCTTTGTCGCCTGCTTTGGTGGACTAGTGAGACATAGATATTTCTGTCCCTTTAGGTGCGAATTGTTGCTGAATTTACAACTTATTATCTATTTTTCTTGTACATCTACTCTAAGTCTACTCACAATTACACACTCTCAGCCCAAAATATCTCCTACGTTTATACCTGGCTAAAGACTTTTATTTACAGGAAACGAAATCGTGGCCTGCCAAGAGCTTATGGAAATCCGGTCGCTTGTCACATTGTTGTTGCAGGTTCAATGTTTGATTGTCATCGACAAAGACCTATAAAAAACCCATGGTTAGTGGGTAATGCGCTTTTTTTACTTGGAACATGTCCTGATTTTCAACCCAAGATATAATTACTACTAATTTGTTTCAACGTAGCACATTTAAGTGCGAAAGTATACTTAGATAATTTTGGTGTTTTTTAGAAAATCAGGTTTAAAATAAAGATCTCCGAAATTAACGCTGTTTTGGAACTTCAGTGTTCCTCTCGGGAAACAAAATAATCTTCCTGTGTATTATGAAGCAAAATAATGTTTAGCTTAAACATTTTTGATACCAACACGTGACAACGTATGGTGAGACATGGTAGTTTGTTAACACTGCACCTATAGAACATCAATCTGAGTTTATCATTTCAGATCATTACTTACATTATCTCTCCTCCTGCGATGCTCTTGGAGTTCATCTCATGTCGTAGAACTAACCTTCCGTTGCTATACCATTCAAATCTCCTAGGTCTTTGTGCAACAGTTGACGATAAGAAGTTTTGTGTTAGTGCTCATAATTAGTAAGAATTAAAAAGCATCGTATGCTGCCATGAAACTTGGACTTCTGGAGTGCTCTTTCTCAGGTTTCATAACATGACAAAATATAGTTCATGGAAGTTTTTGGATTACCATCCCTTATTCATGTCACGATGACCATTTGAAATTTTATGTAATAATCAAATGAATTGGCGAGACTCTAATTTAGCGACGAGCCAATCAGAAGCGTTTGAGCAATTTCAAGGTCACGGGGCCAAGTTCAACACGCGATGCTAACATACGGTCGGTTCACAGCGGATTTTAGAGAGGAGGTGATTAATGAGAGGTTAAAACAGATGGGACAGCGAAACTCTAATTTAGGGACGAGCCAGTAAGAAGCGTTTGAGCAATTTCAATTATTAGCCAATCAGAAGACAGTATAAAGTAAAAATATATTACAAGAATATCCACTGTAATTCATTACTTTAAAGTAATGAATTACAGTGGATATTCTTCTTTTACATGATTTAAAAACTTGTTGAGGTTTGATAAAGGCTCAGAAGTTCTGCATTCATAATGCATATTGTATAGAAACTCGTCCATAAGGTTAGGGTTTGGGGTTAGGGTTAAGGTTAGGGTTTAGGGTTAAGTTAAGTTTATGTTTAGATTGGGGTTTAGGGTTAGGTTGAGGTTAGGGTTAGGGTGCTAACATGCGATCGGTTTACATCGGGTTTTAGCGAAGAGGTGTCTATTGAAAGGCTACAACCCTAACCACTAACCCTATTGGCTAATAATTGTTAAGGTCATTTAAGATTCGTTCAAAGGTCGTCGCTAAATTAGAGTCTCGTCAATGAATTTAGTTGATTTACAAGTTTGTCTTTCATGCATTCTTGCTGAAGACATGCTTCCAACTTTCATAGTTTGTTTTCAAATGACAGAGAAATACAAACTGGATAATACAATATTAAGTTTCTGTGAATTATCACGCTCATCAGACAAACTAAGACATAAGTTGCATAACGCTGGTATTAAAATCTGATAGTGATGACAGGATATGATGCAGAACAACATGTAGCTTCGCGAATCCCAAACATAGACCTAAACTGCAAATGTCAGCCGCAAACTCATTGCCAACAGGCGTTGACGCGGACCCCGATAGCAACGTCTCTACTTGAGTAGTATTCATCTATGAACATTTATAACTAAAATGTACTTTGCCAGTGGGGATACATGACTGTCCAAAAACCTGAGCTTCGGATAATGCACATGACTTTCCAGCCTGGATTTCGGCCATGTTCATGTCAGGTGAACTGTACAAATACCCTGGTTTCCATTTCGAAGCCCCTCTGCCAAAGATTAATAGGATTTGTGTACTTACCTCTTAGGTTTCCATGTATTTATTTGGAGTATTTTTTCTTCATTTAAAATATTGGCATGGTACCCAGCTAACTTGCTGAACCAGATCAGTGATTCCTTGACAGTCTTCGAATCGTCCGTGGGGAATGAACTTGTGTATTTTACTCACCATATTAGTGGATAGCCTCACACCTGATAAGTGCCCAACTGTCATGTGGCTGAGCACTGTTCTTAAGGTGCATATCCACAAAGCAGGATAGACACAACGTTTTTCTCTGACAAATCTCTTGCTTGCTGCAATTATTCCTGCTTCTTACTTGGTGCACTGATGACTGAAAACTGTTTGGCGGTTCACTAAATTGTATACAAAAGTTAGAAATTGTTTCAAAGTAGTAAGACGAGTATGAAACTTTATTCACATAAACATATGAAGCAACGGAACTATTACTATATTCTCAACACATTTCAGAGGATCACAGTGCATATCATTAACACAAACCCATATGTGCACATTATAAACTACAGAGTATATAAATATACCTATATCACTGAACGAGAACGGTTCTTTCAAACAATCTAATATGTCAGTCAAAGCTGTAGTTTTAGTTAATTCTCTTCCCCCTATATCAGTGATTAACCCAGGTTTACCGTGTACTAGTACTACATTATCCAGCTTAAATGAAGTGAATTTAATATTCGTGCACGTAATTATCCGTTTCTTGTAGTCGCATTTGACTGATGTGTTTATAGTGGTCGCGGAAATGCTAATTTGAAACCCACCAGAGAATATTTTATATGCATTATACTGAGCTGCTTGCTTAGCTCTAACATAACCGCTATACCCTAATTTCTTAATCTACATCATGTACAAATCAAATGTAAAGGCGAATTCCGAATGTAAAGCTCCATGTAAACTAACGTTATCAGCGAGCTGCTTAAACATGTACACATCATGAACTAAGTGTTCAGGTCTGTAGGGTTTACACTGTTCAAGAAAATTATGTGCATAATTTCTCATAGAATCTGTTGCACCGATACATAATTTAAGATACCTTAATGGATATATTAGCTAATGCTAAACGCTTATAATTTAAGTACAAAGTAACTGTAACGAACTTTAAAGAACTGGAGTTTAAATAAGGCAGCCACCTATTTCTTTTATTTCAAAAATTGTATCAGCAGATATTTCATTAAATTCTACAGGCTTAATGTTTCTTCCATAGACATAAGTTGTGGACTGCATTAGTTCGTGTGTTTGTTGATGTGTTAATATGCGATTAAGTAACACCAGCACGTGATATTATCGCATTGGATTTGTAAGCTACAAATACTAGCTTTTTGTTGTCATAAAAATGCCTATTTAGTTGACGTAGATACATCAGTCTCAGAACTTTAGAACTTATTTAAATTTCTGAAATATCCAGCACGTTACTAACTTTATAAAACAACAGAATTTGTCCCACTTGCTTTTTGACAATCGTTCTAATGCTTTTGTTATTATAAGAATATCTTGTTTATTCACATACTTGAAATTTTTATTTCTAGTATGGATCAATAATTTTTCGTGTTTTACGATGATCACATTGAATCGATTACTTCATAGTACGCGTCTACAAAGTTTGAGCATCTGATTAACAGTTTCCTAATATAAGTTCCTTTGGATTCTAATTTTTAAAATATTAACTATTGTCGATTGTTTTCAAACTATCAGAACCTGAGAACTAATTAGCGATCTTTTCCTTTCATTCCATATTGTTGTTTAGTTGGTCTATAGGAACTAGACCAACTGAATCAATTTCTCACATTTTTCTTTACAGGCTAAACATATACCTACTGGTTACTGAACTTCCTGGCTTGGGATAGATTAACTAACCAAAATAGTTGCTATGATCCACTTTCATTTTTAATATTTTAACTGTCTCGTAGTGGTCGTCCGTTTTAAATGTCACTTGATAAAGAACTTTTACCGTAGATTTGTTGGGTGATGTAACTATTTTATTCTCCAACCTTTCAAAGCAACTTTAAAAGCGAAATTTAATCTCCATACGCCTACAAACTGCATCACTATGGAGCGTCTTACATTATTTCATCTACGACGGGCCGACAGAACTAACGGACCTGAAACTAGAACTATTATAGATCAAATGGAAACAGAAAGCCTTGTTAGTAAAGCGTACTACGAGAAACTTTGTCAATGGAAAGATGATGCACTTCGGTTGTTCAAAATAAACCACATAAATTATCTCAACAAGCGACTTTTCAATCTGCCTATGAGTTTTGAACATCTAGATGCAAGCCAACCGTGGTTGGCGTATTGGATTGTACATGCTTTAAGACTGCTGAACTTTGTAATCCCTGAAGAGACCTCGGTAAAATTGATATCGTTTTTAGCATCCTCTCAGGTATGTAACCTGTTTTCAGTTTTTGAGGTATTGCAACATTTTATCCAGTTGTCTTGTATAAAGTGTTGCACAGTCAAAGCTACTTTTCTTGGTTCAGTAATTACAGCAGTGGTTTAATCAAGTCTTACATTTTTTGTTTCCTTGTTGCACTTAATCACATCTAAATTTACAAATCATCTATTAATTGAGAAGGAAATGATAATCTTCCAGTCCAAATCACTGTGCAGTTCCTATGTGGTTATTTGTAAAACGATCAAGAAACAGGCTTCTGATATTTGATTGTTTTAATTCTAAATTTTTCCTACGGCAAATGGACTTCTCGTTGATCTTGCTGAAACCAATGAATATCAGCAGCGACAACATAATAACCACATATAAATTGATTCAAAGTTTTCTGGTCAACTAGTTGAAGTATCTAACCTTCAAGTAAAAAGTTTCATATTACACCTTACCAAATTCAGTTCGGCTAGCTAGTTTTCTTCATGCAACGGACTTAGTCTAGTACATGACAATGTGTTTATTTGCTGAATTAGGTCGTCATTATCATTATACGCAACCTTATGGCCTTGTGCCCTATTAATATGCAACGTAATGATACCGCCAATTAGAGAACACTGACTTATCGACCGGACCAGTGACGCATGAACCCGTACGAGCAGTCTAGAGTCTTCATCGTTCCTTCTTCCTGCCTAGCCCTGCCTGTTGAGCCCAGAACACCAATCTCAGCCTCCATGATATAAATCATGTATTCAAAACATACTGGGTTTAAATACAAACCAGACCATATCACACCATAAAATAGAAAATAACATTTGTACGAGATGTAGCCAAAAAGTGAATGTGAATGTGGGAGACTAATTAATAAACCAAGCATAACTCAAGAACGGTGAATCGTATAATGATAGTCTATAAATCAAAATAAAGCTTATAATAAGACGGACCTGAATATGCATAGTTTATTTACTTAACAATTATACAGTGAAAATATATGTATAGTATTAGTCCATAAATGAATCTCAATAGTTACCATCCACTATTCTCGTCGGGATATAACACCTTTTTTGAAGATTTGGAGTTTAGATCCAGACTTTAAATTTCCTGACTTTATCCTCCCCCACGAAAGAATGTTGGAACCTCATATCCCCAAGTTACATTTAATGTGACTCTATTTAAAACATATTTCTTGCACTGAATAGAGAATCCACTAGAAGTGACTAGATGGTGAGGATCAACGACACTTGATAGGAGGTCATCAGGGTTTGATTCTTCTGAAAAAATCCCATCAAATTTATTGGAAATCTCATTAGTAGGTAATGGATCATTAGGAAAATCAGTATCTATCAAAATTGCATTAGGTTTTTGATCTTCATTTGGTTCATCCGAAATATTTTTCTCATTTTTGCTGGGGATTTAATCAAAAGCATGTGAGTCATTAATATAACTCATATCTGATAAAACTAGGAAATCCCGATAAGTAGATTCATTAGAAAATTTTGTCGCAGAACGATGAGCTCCATTCGGTGCAATTGTATTCATTATGCTGTTCAATTTATTTTCTGTTTCTTCGTGGGCGGGTACCGCAGCAATTTCGTTAGTATTTAACAAGACACCGTCTTTCTGTGGGCTGGATAAGTCACTGCTTGTACATTGTACATTAGAGGGTTCTAGCGTTCGAGTGCTCAAGTTGTACGCCGTATATCAAGAATCTAAGCTCTAGATATAACAATTGGCGACGGGTTCAGCTTATCAAGATGTCATTTACCTTTGACCAAGTTGAAGCTTTGCTAGAGCGTCAAGAAAAGCGTTACAAACAGTTCCAGATTCCTACTCTAGAAACTCTAACCCAGTAGATGAACCTAAATCAAAAGGGTCTTACAGGTGGTCCGTTCAAATCTCATCCATGTTGCCAGTTGTTATATCTAGGGCTTAGATTCTTGGTATACTGCGTGCAACTTAAGCAATCGGACGCTAAAACCATCCAAGTCGAAAATGAAAAAAAAAACAGAAGACTAGTGAGAAGGAATGCTATTCCAAACGGTATCAAATATGATACGAAACTCTCAGGTATTTATAATTTTTAGTGGAAGCGAAGTTATTATAGTCATCCAATCCGCATACAGTGGTTTTTAGAATTTATCCAATAGGGAAGCTATACATAGCGGTTCTGAAATGTTCTTCCAAAAGATGATTGAGTGGAATGTCCTCGGCTCTTTCTGAGCTTTCTCACAGTTGACAGATGGACAGTTCGCCCATGGTACAATCGATTTAAGTTCTCAAAAGGTAAACCGAGGTTTCTGATATCTCACCAGACACCAGCCCATCAACACTAATGGGACTCCCAAGATAAATGAAGTGGTCTGTACACTCTGCTACTTCATTCCCTGTTGTTAATTCAGGATATTTTGCCGGTCGGTCCTGAAGCTATATTTTGCATTTAGAGGGAGAAAATCGCATCTCTAATATGCTTGTATTTTTGCTTAGGGTGGTCAAAAGACTGTATTTTGTCAGCGTCTCCACCAAACAGAATTGTGTTGCCTGTGTATTCTAAGTCAACAAGTAAACCTCATGGTAAAAGAACAACTCCCTGAAATGAAACGATGAAAGAGTTATCTCTAAAAGCATGTCTATGTAAAGGTTGAAAAAAACAGGAAAGTGGACACAATCGACGAACACTGCTTGGAGTAACCAACTCCTATGAAAGTTCCACATAAGCTCTGACTCGACCAATAGTGTTCGAGTTTAGAGCATGTACAAAGTTCTCTGGATTCATTAGCTGAGTGGACAACGCAGCGGCGTTCAAAGCGAATGGTACGGGGTTAGTGTCCTTGAGTGGGCATCAACTCTGATTCGTTAACATCTAGCTGACGAGTCCCAAGCGGGACAAAGCACGCGTCCTGGATTCTACTGCTAGCCATATTCCATTTACTCCATACTGACTTGTTTCAATTGCTATATGGAGGCAATCCGGGCAGATTACGCATATGCCAACCAAGACTGATCGAGTTTCAGTCCAAATAGCAACAACTCGATAATCCAAACAATTTCAAATTGAGTTAATATAAAACTATGCTTTTGGAGAATGACGCAATACGTATTGTGTGAAAGGGTTTGTGCGATACTGTCCTAGGTTTGTGAGTATAAACTACCTTTGTGTAATCATAGTTTTGATATGGTGAGAATTCCTACCTAGGCGTTTTTCGCTCTAAATGATCATAATTGTGTTAACTTTCGTAGTGCTCACACATCTACTTTTTCCGCATGTTTTACTTCATAATCCTGAAGGCAGTCAAAGTCCGCTTAAATTATGTTTAGAGAGATGCCAAGATAATTAAAAATTTGTTCTGGTTTTGAGGTTCACAAGTTAGCTTTCGGTTTATTTGAGGTAAAATTAGATAGTATACGTGGGATAATGGATGAAATGTATGTTATGGAGAGGCACTCAGTTGTAGATAGTTTAATGTGCAAATGATTGTTTAGTCTGTGAAGTGCTAGTAAACGGTAGTAACCAGGGAATTTTAACAGTCTCTTTGGAATTACGCTGTCGAGAAAAAAAGTTAATTTACAAAAAGCCAGAACACTAGTACAAATTGTGGTAGTTAGTGTTCACAAATGCAAGTAGTCCATCAAACTTTCTAAATCAACTGTTATTTGACTACCCTATCAAATTTTATAAAAGGGTTTATTGCTTTAATTTTTATTGGATTTTGTTAGGTTAAGAAATGCTTTTATCGAATTTTGAGTCCAATGTTGAATGGGGACCCAATTGTATTCAGTCATTCGGAGGTTATACGTTTGATCAAATTTGCTTTATATTATGTATATTACCACTCTGTTAGCAATTCTTCGTTATTACTATTGATAAAATTATAATTCAGATCAAATAAATTTCACATACTTTAAAAATGTCCCAACAAGTTAGTTTCAGTAGTTTGAAAAACTACTAAAAGGAATGTGTGAAATTTCAAATAAACAACAAATAATAAAATACTATCATCTCGTAATGGTTCGTGTTCTACTCACTTTTAATTGTTATTACAAAAAGCTTTTGGTATTTCCTTGGCGATTTTATAACTGACATCTAAATTAACTCTGTGTTTTGTAATTTAGTCTCACCACTTATTGTTCACCAAATTCCTTGTTTTTTCTATCTATAGCATCCGGACGGTGGTTTTGGTGGCGGGCCTTACCAATTTGCACATCTTGCAACTTCATATGGTGCAGTTAATTGTTTGGCTTCTTTATGTCGTCGAGATGCCCTAGATATTATCAATCGGGATACACTGGCTGACTGGATGCGGAAACTTCATCAGCCAGACGGCTCATTTTTAATGCATTTGGGAGGTGAAGCTGATGTTCGAGGTGCCTACTGTGCCACAGCAGTTGCAAAACTTACTGGGTTGCTTAAAAAACATCCTGATTTGTTTGAATCGACTGCAGAGTGGGTGGCTAGTTGTCAGGTGAGCTATTTTTACGTGCTACTGGGATTAATTATTCCAAATATGTGATTCAGTACCTCTTTTCTGCATGAAAAGCGTTTATATATCTGGGACTAATATATAATAGGAAACTATTCTTCATAAATAAATAATTGTTTATGCTAGTAATTTTGCCAGATTTTTAATTCAATCCAATAAGATCTCTTCTAAATCCATACAGTCAGCCAACAAATCAGCAGTTCCTTTTTATCGCCGACTCAACTCAGCAATATAGAAAAAGTTTGTTTCAACATACAACTTTAGATTACACTTATTCTAAATCCATGCAGTCAGCGGACAAATCAGCAGTTCCTTTTTATCGCCGACTCAACTCAGCAATATAGAAAAAGTTTGTTTCAACATACAACTTTAGATTACACTTATTTTGATGTTGTACATAGTAAATTGCTGCTCAAACCAAAGTAGGAACAATGGATTTAAAGCTAGAATGTAATAACTTTTAAGATTGTGCGTTTGGCTTATTTAATCATATTAACAATATTTTATGTTTCAGGAAAGTTAAACGCTTGCTCAGACTAGTGTTATTCTTCGATTCATTCACAATACAATTACATTAACTTTAATTGAATAATATATAGTGAAAAAGTGGAAAAAGATGTCTTCTATGTGATCTACTCAGAAGTTCGTCACGCAAATAACTAATAAAAGCTTATAGAGAAACGTAAATTGCTTCCAAGTTCACTTTCATAATCTTAGCAGATTTTGCTGTGCATATATATACTTTTATTGCAGACGTATGAAGGTGGTTTCGGCGGTCAACCTGGATTGGAGGCTCATGGTGGTTATGCCTTCTGTGCGGTAGCAACGCTGTGCCTTTTGGGAAGGTCAGATTTAATTAATTTACCTAGACTATTGTATTGGGTCAGCCATCGTCAAATGGCGACAGAAGGTGGTTTTCAGGTAAGGGATGTTTTGCATTTTGTGTTTTTACGCACAAAAATGGATAAGTAATTACGATGAGTAATCAAGTCCATTATCATGTAATATCTGTTCAAACACTGACTTCTGCAACTTAGCTTAAAATTGTAACCGAGTGGTTAACAGTAGATTGCCCAGACAAATGAATCCTCAGATGGTCTTTTTCTATCGTATGAGAATCTCCACTACTAAATAAAATGTATATAGGTCAATTTAATTATATCTGATTGCAAATATAAACGAATTTAAGCGTTTTATCAAAAGTTAGACCACACAAAAAAAATGAAAAAAGAATACTCAAATGAACTATTTTTAAAAACCATTTATGACATTAAATAAGCAAACAGGTAATTACTTCACACTTAAGTACATTTCATTATCATTTAATTGATTTCCTTATGCTTATAAATGGAATTTATTATATTGGTGATTTTATAAGACCTTATTAATACATTTTCATCATAAAATTTCATAGATTTTAGTTATCTGATAATTTTGTCATGAAATTAAAGTTTCAACTGAAGTAGTTATTCCTTGTTTCAATGAAAATATTAACACAAGTAACTGTTAATTAGGACAACATGCACATCTTCAACTTCACTGCTAGTTACCATTTGATAAATTCTGTGTTATGTAAATATTTTTGTTGTAATCAGTTTGTACCGAAACGATCTTTTAGAGAATTAATGTAGCAGAGTTATTAAAAGTTAGTCTCGTATGTTCGAAATACCATTTATGATTAATTAACAAGGTAAAATGTCCCGTTGACTTGAAACAAGAATGGTTGTCGAAATTGCCAACTTTTGCCATGAAATGTATATGATCCTGTAATCTACATATCAGTAAATTCCTTATTAGACTTCGTTTGGTATTTTCTATCTATAACTTGTAGATTACAGTGATGTTACTGGTTAATTCATGCTGTTTTTCCTATTATACTAGTCTAATTGTAATCTGTCCTTGTTACACCGGTTGTATTTATAATTTTTAAATTATATTCAGTTGATTCACCGTACTCATAACATTTAAATTGACTAAATCATGCTGTCTTTCGACTTATACTTGAATTTTTAAAACAGTCACAGATTAAGCTGCAACGTAAAATATATTCGTTCCGTTAATAACTTGTTGATCTTTATTCCAAGGGTAGAACAAATAAGTTAGTGGACAGTTGCTACTCTTTTTGGCAAGGTGCTATTTTCCCAATTGTCGAAGAACTGTTATGGCTGTTTGGCGACCCTGCGCTTAATGACATTGATACGTTGTTTAACCCTTCTGCCTTGCAAGTAAGTTTCGTTAATTTATGTTGTATTTGAAATATGGCATGTAACATTTTGGTAGGTTTTTAGTCTCGGAATTCGTTTGTTCATACTTTAAAACGCCATACACAACAGTGAGGTGTCACTGAAAAATGTACAAATATCTAATGAATTGTTGGTTAAATTATCCTACTTTAAAGCATAAAATAACTTTTTGAACTCCTACTTCGAGTAAACAATCCAGTAGTGTTAATATGTTTTGCACACTTAAGCATGATTAGGCGTGTACGCAAATCTGTATTCATTTCAGAGTTACACATTATACATACAAACGTAAATAATATTGCTCCTAGCCCAAGTGTTTATCATCCCAAGTTACAACACCTTAACACAATGAGGAATCAGAAATAGTCAAAAGAACAAATGTCATTTCGTTGGCACGAGTGAATAGTTAAAAACAAGGAAATAAGTCAATATAAGAAGTATGGAACAATACAATATTTGAAATTTAGTCTCCAAATATTAATTACAATTATCTCGGGGTCCTCTATTAAGAAAACCATATCTCTTCATACAATTCAGAGCGGCAGTCATTGACTTCCCGGACCGGTGCCATATATTAGTTATACCCCCTTAGTCTTATTACAACGTGACAATCATTTCAACATACATTGCAAAGGTAACCTGTAGCTCTGGTCATACGTAACACATCCCACCTACTTTTGCACATAAACCGTCAAAACTCCAATTTATTACCTCTACCTAGTGATTTACGTTCAGAATCAACATGACTCACTTGTCCTACTTTGTGCAAGGGATGTGCACGCTTGGCTACATGACAGCCTACACACATATCTCTCTAGCTTAAATATCGTTCGATGAATCATTCTCCCCCCCTCCATGTATACATGTGCTGGAATCATATTAATAGCCTTCTCCTTGATTCGATTTGACTATGAATTCGCCTCTGTATTCTCTCGCCCACACACATATTCACCTCTGCTTCGAATTCGTTCGATGTGCTTATAACTTTGTTATCCGCTAATAAACTGTAGTCGCCGCTTTCTATTGCCTTTGGGATTTATATAATAATAGTTATCAAAATGATTGATTAATGAAGCTAAGCCGCTACAACTTGGGTTTCAGAAGTAGGAAAAATAATTTCGGATAATGTGATCTAATTTTCAAGACTCGGGATTCAGACAATAAAAGCTCCAACATGCATTTGTTAGTGGTTGTTGAGTATTAATTAAAAAGGGTTGGTAATAAAAATATAAAACGGAAACGAAGAAAGGGGTTAGGGGTAAACAGAATGAACATGAATGATGCTGGACATGTGCCAAGAACTGACACTTCTCAACTGTTCATATCTGGAAACTGATATTTGTGGTCTTATTCGCTTCAAAGGATGTTAACGAAAAATAAACAATAGCCTTCTCGCAAATTATTGTTTTTGGTTGTGTAGCATTATCTCCATGGCTTTTCAACCTTATCACTGGTACTAAAAAGCATTTTTATGGCTGATATTTTATAACCTCTCTCTTCGTCTACAAGAAAGCAGCCACACTGAAAGTACCGGCTATGCGTCAGAAATATTACACTGCTATTAGGACACATTAAACCTGGCAGGACAGCTTCACTACCACTCAGAATTTTCTGCTTTCAGTAAAGTCGCTTTTCACTCGACTTGCCTATCATGACATGAATCGAAGCAAGAAGTGCTTTAGAAGTTATAACTCGATTCAGTCGTTACGTTAAGTAGGGACGACTATTGAGTTGGAAAGTAACTAAGATTTGCCGATATAATAAAAACGTGATAACTTTGTTTTTAAGTTCAGCACCATGCTCTAGTGTTCGTGGTTCTGTGGTATAATCTTGAATGTATTTGTTTCATGTTTGTCTAGTTGACATAATTCATTCAGTCTGTTTGTATTCATGAAAATTTATTTAACAGCTTAAAGTACCACTATGATGAACTTATCGATGAGTAAAACGTTTTTTTTTAGTCTTAATCGCTATACTTAGAAAATGGTTTGACAAATGATAATCATCCTGCCCGTGTGATTACCTTTTTTAAAGCTGAACTATAATCCTATGGATGTAGCAGATAGATATAATAGTAGGCTATTTCCTAGATTGCTGTTATGGTCCCGAACCATTATGCCAATTCCTGGATTTTCCAAAGACCAAATAAATCATTTTAGTAGCTTAACGAAAAGAAACAAGATATGTTAGTACTAATACAGGCAATACAAGTTTATTCACTGAAATATACCTTTCTGCCCAGGCTATTGACCTAATCCTTTTGAAATTAGTTCTCATCAGTTTAGAATATTTATTGAAGAGATATATTACTGAATATTTTAAAGTCAGTTTCTTATGTCACCTTGGAAAAATTCATCCTTACAATGAAAGAAGTTAATAATTTTCATGGCATATCCCATTAATTATTAAACCTGTATTAGATTTATTCAAATTGAATAGATTAACAAATTTTCACTTACGTTCTAACCATAATTTGACATAACAAGTACGTATTAAGATAATGATATATATTACTGAATCGCGACTAAGCAGTTATTTGTACTCGTTGATTGATTGTTATAGTGCTCATCACCAGAATCTTAAGTGTCGATTGTTGTCTTAGGGCTAACTGCTTCTCTAATTACTAGAAACTACTTGCAAAATGGGTTAAATCTCCTGTAAATTACTTGATTAATTAGTCATTTACTCAATATTTGTGATATTAATTTATCTAATAAAAGTTGTGATAGTTTTCAAGACCCAGAAACTATGAAAATTTATCAATTCATAATTTTATTCTTTACTAGGAATATATACTGCTCTGCTGCCAAAAGGTTTCTTACACTCGTCCAGGTCTGAGTGTGCATGCAGATGATTCTTCTGGTGAAAAATTGTCGTCTTCAAATAAAAATTTCACGTCTGAATACGATGTATCTACTTCTGATGGTGGATTAATTGATAAACCCGGAAAAAACCCTGATGCGTATCACACGTGTTACTCTTTAAGCGGATTGAGCGTAGCACAACATTCTCCTCGTTGCCGTGTTGAATCACACCAAAAATATGATCTTCCTCATCCATCACCTGCTGTCGATGTATTAGGTGAAGAATTAGGTAATGAACTGGTCGACTTAGACCCTACCCATAATATCATGCATGATGGTTTAGCATTTACTGTCACGTACTTTTCTGAGCTGGATAATGGTCATTCACCAAAAGATGCAGAGGAATTAGCGTTGGCGGCAGCAGAAAAGTACTCTGTACCCGCATTATCAGTATTCAAAAGACAGGAAAGTCCTACGGAGTTCCATACTTATGATACCAGTGATAATGAAATCACTGTTCCTCAGCATTCTCAATCAATGAACACTTGTACAACGCCGTAGATATTTTATAAGATTGTGACGTGTGGGCGAGAATGATTGGTTGTAGATAGTCTGACAGGCGTTAGATAAGTTATATATTTTCTTATCGTTATTATTATTATCGATTGTTGCTGGATTGTGTCGGCTTGTTGTCAGTTTTTGGTGTAAATATATTTACGTTTCAGTCAGACTAATCACGTGTTCTTGATCTGAGTTGTGTTGAAGTCCTGTAGAATAAACACTGGGAGGAAATCTAATGGAGATATACGTCTACGGCAAATTAGCGTCTCATTCGTAAAGACAAAGGAAATCCGAGCGTTATAACAGATTGTCATTTTTATTTTTCCAGAAAAAAACACTTTACAATTTGATTGTTATCACTATGTTGATGTAACATTTCCTGCAAGTTTATGCTTTGTTTACGTTTGGGTAGACTGCGTCATACTTTGCCGGGATACCGTATATTAGCGTTGCACTGATAACTAATATGGATCCGACAAATAAATACCTAAATGAAAATGAATTTATGAATATTAGTTTTGTTTAAGAGAATCAATTAAGGTGTTAATATTGGATGTCTATAATGTAGATCAAACAATAAAGTGAAACATATAACAGTCACTTAATATGATTTTATTAATAACGTATCCTTTTTGCAACATGAAACAAATCAGAAATTCAACCTACGACGTTTTAAATACATGATACATTGAATTTTTTTAAACTATATACGTGTTCTGTAAGACAATGAGTGAGTAATGTCTGTAAAACTAAACTTGTCAAATTAATGATGGATTCTAGGTACCTGTGACATTCTTAGTAAATGGATATATTTTAAACAAACTTTCGTGTGTGTACAACTGACTAAGGATACTTCATTGTGTGTCTTGACATCATCAGACGGGTTAGCTAAGTCTGTTTTATAAAAAAAGACAGACTAACAAATTCATTGATTGACAACTAGAGGAACTGCAAATATAAATGTACTTAGCCTACAAATTGTATTTAAGGCGCTCCCACATTACGAACAGCATTTAAAAGTAATGTTTACTGAACTACGTACTGAAGGTTGAAGAAAACAATATTGTGCTATTTCTTACATGTTTGGAGTAAAGTCATCAAACAGGAAATAAGATATGAGAGATGACAGAATCATTGATAGACCCATAGAGAAACCTTTCAAAATGTTATCAGCATATTTCATGACAAAGGCTATTGCTAGCCCTCCAAACGCCTGAAGAATAACTACAATCCAAACGATAGGTGTGTAACCGTAAAAAAAACCCAGAGTTTTGACTTTTGATGCATCGTTAATGAAGACTCCAAACAGACCGATTGGCACGCCGAAGAGACCTAAAGTATAGAAGGAAATTCATTAGTGAATATTAGTATCTATAAGGATGCATTGTCAAAAGTCAAGAGTCAGTGCGTAAGCTTAGCATCTTAATGATCTCAGTAAGTATCTAAGTCTAGATTAGTAGCGCAAATCATGAGTAATGATTGTCACCTGAATTATGGTGATTGGAAGTTGCAATCGCATCACTATAAGACGTGAGACCTACAACCGAGTGTTGCATAGTCACAAGGGTGACCGATTAGATCTACGCACAAATATATCCATTATCAATTTAATTGAATGGCACAGTGTGAAATATAGTGAGATTATTTATTAGTCTAGCAAGCCGAACAGCATTCATACCTTAACTACATACAAGTTTGTGTATTACAAAACGGGTCATATCAAAAGTAGTAGGGAAGTGTATAAAAATTGACGAACAAAGTTGAACCATGACCATTGCTTAGCCGTACTACATGTTTTTTGTTGTTGAGGAAACTGACGACAATTAAATATATTCACCAAGCATTTGTTAACTTTTATTCACAGGCAGCAACTAAAGGTTACCGAAAGTCGAATATAGGGTCAAGAAAGATTATTATGACAGCTTATCAAAAGTATGTGCAACGCATGTATCAGCAAAATGTAGGATTTTTCCTTATCATCAAGATAGAGATTTTCACAAATTTTGGAAAAGCTAATAAGGGATATTTGGACGCTGAAGATGCTAAAAAGAGTGGTGAGGACATACAGCAACTTTTCTACAGTCGACTTCAACTATGTTTAATTTTTGTTGAACCCTTTTATTAACTTAACAGACAATGTTTTTCTAACAGCAATGGTTCGTCTATTTATTTGTTTTATTATGATCATTGTCTTATCTGTACAGACGTGTACGCTTGATCATATGGCAGCCTACGCACATATCTCTCTAGCTTAAATGTTAATATCTGAAATAGCGTTCGATGAATCATTCTCTTCCCCATGTATATATGTACTCGAATCCTATTAGTACCCTTTGTCTTGCTGTGCCCTTAATAGATTTGACCAAAAAATTCGCAAGTTATAAAAGACCAGGTTATTAGCCAATGTTATATATTTAATATGATTCATATTAACCCATGTTTTCTGTCTCACCTAACTGTAGATTTCGCATCCAGATCGAAGTTGACGTTCCTTTAAATATTTTCTCAAGGTAAACACCAGCAAAGCCGCTAGTAACAGAAGCCAATAAAATTGCCAACAACCCATAAAAATTTGAATGGAATTCACTGCTCGATGTTGATTGATCTAATGAAGGCAACTAAGAGTTATAGCAAGAAAAAGAATAATTCACAATAAATAATGTTAAAATGTTTCAAATAGTTATAATGCTAAGATTATGTATGTAATAGGCTTAATGGTTCAAACAGTCGGTTTTCAACCACTAGGTCATAAGATTTGGGAAGAGATGTATTATCACTAACCGTCGCACGTAATTATGTGCCTGGCAAGTGGATCAAGTCATTATTTACAAATTTTTTTACCACATGGGGACGTTACATCTTTACGACTTTCAGAATCGGGAAAAATATTTTTATTATACAAATGCTTTATAAAACAAGTAATAATTTGATCAGAATGGTTAGATTTCAGTATCAAGAGTTAGTTATTAAATAGGATTACTTCCAATGAGGCTACAAATGAGACTTAGTATTTTATGTATAGGAGAATCTGATTATAAAAGACAAAAAATTGGAGATTACCATGTATGTTTCGGTCTAAAATTTAGATAAACAAGAATAAGGAAACGTGCAAGCATAGAAACAATGACTGGATTTATGATACGATTTTTGTATTTGATCTTCGATATAGATTAAAACGTTACTTCTTTGCAAAAACTATAATGATTGCACTTCTGTATAACGTTCAGTCGACTAACACGAGTACAACCGTAAAAATGTTGGCTTTAGACCTGAGACTAGCAAAGGTCATTACCCAACGAATAAAAATACCCTACTACACACTTATTTGGACGACAACATATGATGTAGATTTGGAAAGCGTTTCGAAACCTAATTTTGTGTCAATTTTGATTATGTATAGTATAGTGAGGTTTGTCAATACAATTAGAATGAACCATTTTAAACTGTTGTAATGCTAATTTGATTGCTCTAAATTTGTGTTATTTTAGTTAGATTGCATTCAAAATTTTGAACTTCATTTGTGAAGTGGATTAGAAGCAACAAACATGCAGTAGTTATTTTTTATACTATTCATCAATATTCCCAGAATCTTAAGAAACATCAAAACCATTACAAGGTTTATACAATACAATGTTTCATCAATATGAAATGCCTGTAGGTCAGTTTTATTCTTGATTATGACTGTAGGTTTAAGCAGAGCACATTTGCATCAGGTCCTGAGTGACCCATAAATTCAAGCATCTATAGTCTCCAAAAGAGTGATAAACTTGGAATATTCACTCTATAATCAACATAAAACCTGAGATAAATGTGCGTCAACCTAAGTTGAAACATGGAGTAACTTAGAAAAAAAAAACGAACGTATAGAAATTAAACATTTCAGGCGATAGGGTGTGTTTCATGCTTCAATGTCAGGCCTATCACAACCATCACAGAACACTTAACTACAAAAGAGAAAAGCTTTCAACAGAATGAGGCTAATTATACTACTTGGAGAGCAAGCAGCACTGCAGAAAATAGCAGAGTATATGGTATTCATTGTGAAACCTTACCTGTGTTAAGATAATACCTGTACTGAGTAATAAGAGAGCAAACCATTGAGTTGAACGTAGGCGCTGATTTAATAATAGTATCATAAATATAGCAGTAGTGAATATTTTACTCTGATAAAGTATCTGATATAAAACAGCATTCAAATGTGAAATGGCAAAATATAGTAAATTATTCTGTATAATATAAAGAGTTGAGGGAATTAAAATTTGAATCATATCATCATACTGAACAATTATTTGATTATATATTGATGAAATACTACGTTTAATTTCACCTGAAGTATAAAGAAAAAAAACAGTCAAGAGTTTGATAATGAATTCAGAAAATGTAGTCACAGAATAAACATGTAAATTTATTCCGATGACATTTTTGAAAAGGTCAAACTGTGGTTTGGTGAGTTCAGGGAATTTATTTCTATACTTTAAGTTGGAAATGAACTTTAATTATCGAGTCTTGGGCATGCATATAGCCCATATATGAATTCATGCCCTGGGTACACAAACCTGAAAGTAGTATCTAGGTGGCACTCAATATTCAAGAACGTCTACTTAGATGCTTTTGTCTACCAATATATTAGTGATTCTAAAACAAAATAATTATTACCTATTTTATAAATAACAAGAAACGGCTTTTGTATTTCACGACCTCTCGTTTTAGAGTTTCATTATAAAAAAACAGGCTTAGGGAGCCCGATGAATATATCTTACTCCACAAATTTCCTTCAGCAGTAAATAAATTAAGACTAGGATGTATTGTAAGTAATAAACATGAAACATATAATACTAGATATAATGATTTACCATAATTTTAGGTTATTTGAACACATATATATTGGTACAAGAGTGCGCCAAATATATATGCGCCATACGAAACAGTGAGAATTGAAAGAGAAGGAAAGAGAAAAGGAGGGTAAAAAAGAACAATAAGGAAGAGATTGGTGTGAGGTAGTGTAATAATAATAGTGGTAATAATGGGGGTACGGAAAGGTACAATCAGAAGAAATCTTACAGTTAAGGAAGAAACAACCATATTTCTTTATGAAGAAAGTAAAGGGTTACAGCAGGATCGCCACTGGCTTCTATTATGAGCCATATCTGATAACGCCTCTAGCCACTGTGTTGCGCTATCTCTCGGACCCCAGCCAAGGAGTCGTGAAGGACCAACACAAGCCAGTTCTTTACCGCTTTCTTTCATACCACGACACCATGTCATACACCGCTCACCTCCGCTTTTTCCAACCAGTTCCAGAGTCGGCAAATAATGCACGACGTGGAATTCTCTGCGACGACATTCGTAGAACATGTCCAAGCCACCGAAGTCGGTGTGTCAAGATGGTGACACCCGAACACACGATACCGAACCTCTGCATTACTAACATGATGTTGCCACTGGATGTCAGCAATCCTTCGGAGACAACGATGATCGAACACAGAGAGTAGTCTAACGTCCTCAACTCGGAGAGACCAGGTTTCACAAGGATAGAGCAAAACTGCTCTCACCGACGCGTTGTATATTCGACCTTTTACAGCCAGACTAACATCACGAAGGCGCCATAGATGGCCCAGGTTGGCCTAAGCCGCTCTGGCTTTCAACATACATACATTGGTCTCATCACTCACACCCCCACCAGCACTTATGCTGCTACCTAGATACACGAACTTCTCGACTACTTCTATCTGCTCACCATCCAGGGTGAGTACAGGATTAGAATCCTGCCAGTCTTGTAGAAGTACTTTGCATTTCGAAGGTGCAAAGCACATACCATACCTACGGACATTGATTGCCAACTGATTAGGTGCGGATTGCATGCCTTGGGCATTATCGCACAGTAAGACAATATCATCCGCATACTCAAGGTCGAGAAGTCTTTCTCCAGGCAACAGATCCACACCGCCATTACTTACATCCATCACAGCTGTTTCCAGAATGTCATCGATGGCAAAGTTGAAGAGGAACGGTGAGATTGGACAACCCTGTCTAATCCCACTGCTTGAATGGAACAATGGAGAAAGGTAGTTGTATGCCCTCGCTCTACCTGAGGTTTTTGTATATAGGGCTTTTAAGATGTTAATAAACTTCTCAGGCACAGCCTTCTTCAATATACAAACCCAGAGGACAGTCGAAGGCAGCCCTGAGTCAATAAATACTACGATTTTTGGCCTTTGAAAAGTATGGCGGTGTTCTAACATTTGGCGTAGGGTGAAGATATGATCAATACATCCAAGACCAGAACGAAAACAAGCCTGCTCCTTGCGAGTCAATCTTTCTCGGGTTTTGAACAACCTACGAAGTATGACAGAAGCCAAGGTTATTTGGAACTGAAGAGGAAGCAGAGAATTAAATGAATTCATTGAATTTGCGTCTTTTTCTTAACAATTTGTACAAACTATTCATGAAGTTAGGTATACGACTTTGACTTCGTTATCATTTGTGTAAATTTCTTCAGTTTGAGACAAATGATGTTACAACACAATGTGGGTCTTAATCTGGATTCGCTTATCTGACTAAATATTGCAGAAAATAGTTGCACATGCGCTTTTAGAATGGTACTAAACAGAATGAAATGACTAATGAATTATTGTACTACTTGAATCCGTGTATGCTGGAAGCGCTTAATATTGTCGAAATTTGATTCAATCTGTGAAAAAAACTTACTAAGCCTCACCTGATAAATATGCACAATTTAGGAGTTAAATGTTAAGTCAATGCTTTGAAAAAGACCTTTAAAAAACTAAGGTTACAATTACACTGGGTACCGACAAACATATTTAGCGTTTCCTATCACAGTTTTAGTATACACATAATTTTGTATTGTACTACTAATTAACTGACTTGAAACAGGTAAACAATATTATAAATACACATAAGTGATTTGCTTGAATGTGTGAGCCTAAATTAACGTGAAAGTGGAGCAAGCCAGTGGATAAAGCTACGTGCACAATCAATAAGCGAAACATTTCTTAGAAACTAGCACAATTAAAATATTTAAAGAAATATGCTCATTAAATGGCATTTACCTTCTTGGGATAAAATCAAAAATATCGACAGTAGAAGTTTTAGAAATTCACTACATACAACAACCGTTGAAGCTGAGTATAACTCCGAATTCTGAACTGAACGTGAAACACGCATCAATAAAATTAGGCAGGAGGTTTGACATGTCAAGAAAATAAGACTGCCACATTTTATCCAAAGTGTTGAAGATAATTCCTAAAACAGCAAACCAATTGAACAAGATTAAAATTAGTAAAGAAAAGAGTGAATAATAGATACATAAAAGTTACCAACTACATATATGGTACTCTTTGTACTTAAACACCAGATATGTCCATTCAAGTCCCTAGATGTAAGCGCAATATTTATTAAGTTGGTCACAAAGCTAACTACTAAGAGCATATTGTATCCAATTTGTCGAGGCGTAAAGAGGCAATTAAACGACATTCTCTTTAGTTTTTGTATATATATTGACTTATCAAAATAAATAACGGTTGATGGAGATGTAACTGAGATAACCTCGGCCCAACGGCTTAGTTCGACGGTGATACCATGATATCCCAGGATAAATACACTTATAATACTTTAAAAGTTGACAGAGAATGAATGGATTAGAAATACTCTATTGGAATAATGAGCACGAGTTTATAAGACAACGATTTTATTTATTATTTATTTGAGCACATAAATATTGGTATAAAGGGGAACCGAATACATATGCTCCACACAAGTCACTTCATTTGTGCGTGGGCTATGATACTGCCCGGGTGGCCCAGACCGAACATTAGAGGGGAACGTTAAACGATGAGGGAATAAACGGTACACATACACTTGAAATATTTACATCATTTATTACATTCAGTGACAGCTTTCTTAAAGCAATAACTTAGGCAGAAGAGAACTGACATTAAGGCTATATTGAGAGCTGTTGGAATGATGATGACAACTATCAGCACTGAAACCGCGATAAGTACCAACAGACAGAATAAAAGAATATCTCAATGCAAATGGTTAGGAGAAAAGTAGGTGGAAAAAGATGCAATCAGCTCGAACTAGGTGAAAAGATCCATGAATAACTCAAAGTCATTTCTTGAAAACAGCTGTGCACTACAAGGCAGGATCTATTGAAGGTTTTCGAGTGTTATGGCCACTCCCCAGTTTTAAGTGCTTTGACAAAGATGCTCCCAAATGCTCTGGTACGGCCAACGACGGAGAGTTAGCTCTCCTCGAAATGCTCTCATATGGTCAAACGTATACAACCACTGCCAGAGAAGTTCTTCACACTACTTCTAAGTGACCATGAACAACTAATAAAATCAGCGAACATATACACTAGTTTGTGAACACTGATTTCTTAGTAGGTCGTAGACAGAAAGTAAGAGTGAATTCGAAGTTCTCCACCTGGAGAACAGTACTTAGTGGAGTACCTCAAGGTTCAGTCCTAGGCCCCTTACTTTTTATACTGTATGTAAATGATCTCCCAAGTATAGTTGAATTCCTCAAGTTATTATACGCTGATGTAAAAACCTGGCGAGAAATAACGGGAGACAGATGCATGAGCACTTCAGGCAGACTTAAATATTGTGATTAGCTAGGTTAAAAAACAGGCTGATGCCTGTCAACGTGGCAAAGTGTATCTACATACACTTTGGGGATGTAAAGGTAAATAGGTACAGCATAGAGGAAGTGTCTGTACCCGTGGTCCGGTCTCACAAGGATCATGAAGTCACAGTGAGTCATGATCTTAAGACCACGGCCCACTGCCAGGAGGTTGCAGATAAGGGGTTTAGAACCCTGTGGGCTTTAAGACGAACATTCACCTAGTTAGATACTCAGTCAGTCAGTGGAAGAATAGGCAGAGCCGACAAAGAGGCAACGACAAGTGTCCCTATCTTTCCGAATCCTTACTGTTCCGTTTAGTCGAACAGCGCACAAACGACTGTCTACTGGGATCCAGTCTAAGAGAGCTAGTTTTGCCCTAGGACTCGATGCTATACCTACGCCGGCGAGGCCACGAGAAGCGGAATCAGGGCTCCCAGATACACAAAGTGTGAATCGAGTTGGTTCTTTATTTTGATATGTGAGGTCAAATGAATGACGCTACTCGGATCCTGTATGCGCGTTTCGGAGACACAGCACACATCGATGGTGCGAAATTTTAAATAACCTAGCTAAGGAAGCTTGTTGTCCTATTTGGCACAGTGTTCGGACGTTATAAGCTCTAACATGAAGTTTAGAGCGTGGTTTCAGGAGACCAGAAATAATGTTCCGCGTATTCGAATCGTTTGCGCTAGCGGTACGAGGTGATAAAAGAACGTGAGAAGGGTTAGTCGGGGAGATAAGAGGTATTAGGAGGTGTAAGAAGAATTTGAATGTGACCAACCTGGTCTCGTGTGCTGTTACGGGTATGAGGGCTGGTGTCACCTCCCGGCTGCCCACACCGTGGAAGGGTATTTCTTGAGGAACCTGAAAAGGAAATTGAATTAGTGTTGGTCTTAAAGACCTGGGGACGTGACCGCAGAGCCCAAGGGACAACTGCTTGAGGCCGGCCGCGCACGACCTTTTGAGGAAGGTTTTTGACGTGTTAGCTCCGTTCTTCAAAGGGTTTTACCGCCGGAGACGAAGGTAAGGTGAGGTGTGACATTTTTAGGGTCAACCTTTTCTAACCCCACCCCTCCTTGTGAGAAGGCAGCATCACTGCAGATGCTGGTTTTCCGAGGGAAACACCTTACTGCCGTCACACCCCTCTACAGTCAGCAGTACGAATCCGCCCTCAGACCTTGAGTTGCTGCTTTTAGTTTTACCGTTCTCCAATCGACCTGCCTAGCATGGTAGAACCTACAGGAACATATGTTCCAGACATAATAGCTCGGTTGGGTAATCACGATAGGCAAGCCCGACCACCGCGTCAAGGTAGCAGCTACAGTCGGGTAGATACTACTATGTTCACTACAGTATATACAACCTTAGTGAGAATTAAGCTTGAAGCCTATGTTCAGGCTGCAAGCCCCTGTTTAAAAGGTGACTCAGATATCCTGGAAAAAGCACAGAGGGCAACTACCCGCGCAACTTCAGAACTCTGGGGTTTACCATACAAAGAGGGACTAGAAAAGCTAGATCTCTTTACCCTGTCCTATCGCAGATTAAAAGGTGATCTGATTTCGATGTATAGAATACTAAGAAATGATTTCTGATCTAATACATCCTTTCTTTTTCTTCCCATTAGATCGGGACATCTCAGAGGACATAGCAGGCAAGTAGAAAAGCCAAGAACGAACAAAATACCCGTGGCAGACAGGTTTTCACACCAATTCATCAATTCTTGGGACCTGTGTCCGCACTTTTAATTGACTCATTCAAGAGAAGACTAGACACTCACAGAAGCATACTAGAAAAAGAATAATAGGCTGTCTGTCCTTACTACACAAATATGAATCTGAATATAATACTGGCTTGATATCTGAGACAAAAAAACATGGGATCGCAATTAAACTGAGAATAGAGCTGACACAGAAAAAGACATTGGTGAATATATGTCCCTTAAAAATACATTCGGAGATCGCACGCTTCGTAAAACCTTCGCCTCAGAAAGATTAATGGTGTAACATTAATTGCGGAAGATAGCCCAAGATATAACGCATGACATGTATTCACACAGCATGAAAGTATTTAAGATAAAACTGAAGAAAATGATGGATAAAAGATTACAGTGAATACTATTAACACCTAACCAACCAATAAAATAGGACGCGCAAGAACATTGGGAAGAAGTAGAATATAGAGACGAACCAAACTGATATTCATCTTCCAATTCCAACTGATTTAAGTTCGTGACGAATGAGGGTTTATTACGCAGGACTACAATTTATAGACGAACCAATCAGATTTACGACAAGTTTTGGATTTTGACGCGAAATACATTCATCTATTTGGTTAAACAACGCTTAGTCATTTTAGCTGGTGTCAGCCCATGATTAAAACCCCAAATCTGATTCCCAACCCTAACCAATATTCGTTAATCATAGTTTTTATACTCCACATAGGTTTATATATAAACCTGTGTTATAACCCTCCTTTAGCCCTTATAATTACGTAGACATCCTCAAAGTCATTTTGACGTCACTCAAAAGTCGTCCATAAACTATGGTCTCACCCCTAGCAGTCTGACTTTTTCAAACTTTTCCAGTAAGCGATTTGCTAACATGTAAACACAGTATTGGAAAAATTTCCCAAATGTATGACCTTCGTGAGTCACTCAAAGTACTCATTCAAACAACGTTGTGGGAATATCTCAATATAGGTAGAATTTAGTGTATAGGTGTTACTCATCAACATACGAAATACATGACACAAATGATACTAATGATCAGTATTCGCAATTAGTTTTACACTTGATTTTACGTCTAATTTATTTTTGTAGTGCATTCGTGAAAAGCATCGATACATCCTAAGCTTATGAACTAGGCTTTTGTATTTACCAGTAATTATAAATCATCTATTGTCAGTCTTCAGTATAAAGCTAGCAGGTCGTTGAACCTTCTTACTACGACTCCGAATATTGTTTATGCCGTAAGAAGTAAAAAGATTTAAGATATTGTAGTGACTCACATTTATCACGAGAACACGACTGGTTTAATAAAAACAATTATTATTATAACCAACTGTCCCAGTGTTTGTTTTAATGTGCTTTCGTTTGGCTGTGCTAATGACAGCTATATTGTGCTTCCATTCTGATTCTTACACTTTGATTGTAACTTCGCGCGAATTCGGTTACGTTCTGTAACCAAGCTTCTATCCTGGCACGATCTCGGTATCTTTTCGATGCCACGAGATTGCCAGCGAATATATCTCGATTTAGTCCATTAATTGCCTTCTGATATTTGGCTTCTCGGGGATTTTATGGATTTATTTGGTTACGTTCAACCTTCGCCTTCTGATTTATTTGGCACGTATTTCTTGGTAGGGGTGTTCATAGTTAACCTCAACTCGACACCACGCTACAATATTAACACCCGAATCGTAATTAAAGGTAAGGCACGTCAAAATAAGGTCACCGCTATAAGGGTAAAAGTCTAGGCTTTTCAAACTCTCGTTATAATGGAGTTTTGTAGGACCCTTTAATAATTTCATTCTTCACATTGAACACACTAACGTGATTAAGTGTCCTTAATCAGACTTGGACTAGCAGCTTGGATACAGTATTCTAAGTGTGGTCTTACGCAGGCGTGATATGAAATTAGAAACATCTCGTCAAAGCATTGGAATGCTTGGCTAAGTGACCATAAAGCATGAAAATTTTTGCCAGATGCTGCGTTGCAGTGCATGATTGCTTTCAAGTTGTTACTTACGTTCCTGTACGCACGAAGGAAATGTACTGTCGACAGTAATCTGGTAATTGTTACCGTGTTCGATGTGCATGAACACATCCTTCCTGGATTTAAGTCCTAAATCACAACCTCGGGCCCATCTAACCACTTTGTGTAGGTCAGTTTGCAGATCATAATGATCAACCAGGTTTTGACGTCATCCGCAAACAGTAATATCGAAGACTTTAGCCACAGCGGAAATTCACTGACGTAGAAAATGAAAGGTAGGGGACTTAAGATAATACCTAGGGATAACCCTTTTTGACCGGTGTTCATTCAAATAATGTTCTACCTACCTCCACTCTTTGTCTCTGGTCACATTGAAAGCTTCTTACTCATTTCTATACAGCAACTGTTATTCTGAGGCTCGGGAGCTGTTGCATAAGACCTTGTCAAATGCTTTGCTGAAGTTCATGAATATCACACCAACAGTCAGAACATTATCTAGGGCTGCCATCCAATCCTCTCTCTCAATAACTAAGTTGGCCAAGCATGAATGCTTGTTTAGAAACCTGTGTTGCTCAGGAGCCAATAGAATGTATGATTTTATGTGTCTTTGTAACATAGCCCGTATTATCTGTTTAGATGACTTAACTACTATGCTAGTTTGACTGACAGGTCTGTAGTTAGATACAAATGTAGGACTAACTATACCATCTTTACAATCCTTAGGTAGCTGATAATTCTATATTGTACCAAAAAGATAATATTGAATAAAGCCATTAATAATAATAATAATAATAATAATAATAATCTAGAGAAGAGTCATGTTAAAGCGTATCATGAGTGACTTTGAAATAATGTCCTTTAGAGATGACAGCGACCGTAGATGTAGCCCATCTTAATTAGTCTGAGGTTACTCATCAACTGAAAATCAGTTTCACCAATCACATGAACAGGTTCTATAGCTGGTATATGTTAGATATTGTTTTCGGAATTTCTGCTTCGTCGACTAGGTTAGTGAGTACTGCAGTTAATGTCTGGAACTATATGAGTAGATACTATCATAGTATATAATTTTCTAATAATACTGAGGCTATGATAGACAGATGATCTAGGAACTGAACTTTTAGATATTTCACCACCAAACAAATAATCATAAGATTCAAAACTTTAACAAGAAGTAAAAGTTCTGAGTCGTATTTTTATATATTTTTCAAGTGTTTCTGATCAACTATCATAACATTTTATGGTATTCAAATTATTGTATGAACTAGGAATTACAGGATTAACGCAATTGAATTAAGAAGACACAGGCACAAACGAATGTATTGTATTTAGAATTCGAGATCAGGCATTCAACCAATACAAAGGTATCATTAGTTCATTCAAACACCGCATCCGCCACAGCTTAAATTGGAGTATAGGTGCTTGTAATCAATCGTACGTCTTCTTCTCAAATTCATCCTGAGTCTGTCTGACATTGTATTGGATAAGGATTCTGTATTATCTAGAATATGCTCATTAGCATTAGAATTAACAATCGAAATTGGAACTGATTCACCTGGTAACTGAAATTGTATTTGATCTACATTTCAACTGTGTGTACTTAAGTCATCGATGTCTAGAATTCTCACCATCGATTTTCCGATATTCTTCAGAACAATACCCGTAGATGGTCGAAGATCATTTCCTCGATAGTATGTAACTTCTGCAGACTCCAAACATCTCATATTTGACCGAAGAATTCTTCCTTTCAATAGCTTCGCTGGAGTCTCCTTCGTCACCGAATGTCTGGCATTTCGATATTGCAATAGAAAGGTATCTACTCCCCTCTCCAGCTCATTAAATATTGAGGGGGCTATAGAATCAATAGCAGTCTTTAATGTGCTAACAAAATTCTCTGCCTGACCATTAGAACACGGATGTCTGGGAGTAGTAAACAGATGTTTGCACCCTATACCGTTCAACCAGGTAGTGACTGCATCTGCAGCAAAATGTGAGCCATTATCAGTCACCAACACCATGGGAACCCCTTCTCGACTAAACACCTTTCTTAGTACTTGTATTGTGAAATCAGAATTTGGTGAAGTTGTAAAAAAACTTCAGGCCACTTTAAAAAATAATCAATGACTACTGGTGCGTAGTATTTACCAAGAAATGGTCCACAATAGTCAGCATGAATTCTCTGCCAGGCCTCAGACGATACTGGCCATGTCACCCACTTCGAAGGATGATTTTTCAACTGATGACATTTCGCACAATTGTTTGCCGTACGACATATATCTGCATTTATCTCTGGCCACCAGCATGTGAGCCTTGCCAAGGACTTCATTTTCTCAACACCTAAATGACCACTATGAATATCTTCAAGAACAGATTTACGCAATGAAGGGGGAATTACAACACGACCATTTAAACACAGAATACCATCAGGAGTAGTAGATAGCTCATCCCGCTTTGAATAATAGATAGGAAATCTACGTTTCAAATTAGCAGACCAGCCTTTCCGTATAGCAGTGAGGATACATCCAAAATATTTGCGAGTTTCTCTAATGAAATCTGAACGTCTCACTGGTAGAAGTTGCACTAACAAACAATCCGAAGTATTAATAGGTTTATCTTGTAATGACTGTCGAGAAATGTAATCAACATGTTGAATCTGTTTGGCATTTCTGTGCTGAACCGTATAGTCATATGCACTTAAAGCAATACTCCATCGCTGAACCATAGCTGCTGAGAAACGTGCTAAGGATTTTTCAGGATGATAAATAAACTTTAAAGCTTCATGATCAGTAACAATAGTGAATTTCTTTCCGAATAAATATTTATGAAGTCTTTTAACAGCCCAAAACACAGCTAATGCTTCTCGCTGAGTCTGTGAATAACCTTGTTCAGTAACAGTAAGTTTGCGTGAAACACAAATAACTGGTCTACCTTCCTGTTCCCAAACTGCACCAATTCCCACAGGTGATGCATCAGTAATAAGCACAGAATGTGCATTAGGGGAGTACGTTCGAAGAACAGCATCACTTTGAAGAAACTTCAGTAGACTTCGTAAGCATGACTCTTGTTCCTCACTCCATTCGATTGAACTGGATGTCAAAATATTAAATAAACAATTTGCACGACAAGAAAAATTAGGAATAAAACGGGAATAGTACTGAAGAGCACCCATTAGTGAACGTGAACCCGTAAGATTTTTTGGAGACGGTGCATTTGTCAGTGGAGCCAATCGTTTCATATCTGGTCTAAAATCATTACCATCAACTAGGTATCCAAGGCATTCAAAACTAGATACACAAAATGAACACTTATTTGGATTCACTGTTATATTCTTCTCAATTAAAAGACGCAATAAAGCAATAAGTCTCTGGTCATGAACTACCTTATTAGAACTATGAACAATGAGATCATCTTGATAAACTTCAACACCTTCAAGATCACTAACTACTTTATTTATAACTTCCTGAAATATGGCTGGAGAACAACTTAGACCAAATGCAAGGAAATTGTATTTGAACAGACCAAACTGAGTGTTAATTGTCGTCAAAATAGATGAAGATTCAACTAAAGGAATTTGAAGATAAGCATTTTTAGGTCAACTTTCGAGAACACTTTGGAACCATGAAGTCGATTTAGAATATCTTCAGCCTCTACCGTCGTGCGCGTTTGCTTCAACAAACGGGAGTTCAGAGTTAATCAATAGTCACCACAAATTCTAGGGGTCTTGCCGTCCGACTTCAGTGGCGTAACGATAGGAGTACTCCATGCTGAAGACTGAATTGGTTCAATTATGCCTTTCGCACACAAATCGTTCAATGTTTTATGTACTGCTTCTCGAAGACCATAAGGAATTATTCGTCTTTTAAGAAAGACTGGACCACCCTGTACTTGAAGTTTTATAGGCTGAATTTTTATAC